ATTGTGATATTACATCAACACTGAATATGTGTGAAGTTATAGGGGGTAGTAGAGCGACGAGGGTGCATCACTGAAATATTGTTCTATTACACCAACACTGAATATGTGTGAAGTTATAGGGGGTGGTAGAGCGACGAGGGTGCATCACTGAAATATTGTGATATTAAACTAACACTGAATATGTGTAAAGTTATAGGGGGTGATAGAGCGACGAGGGTGCATCACTGAAATAATGTGATATTACACCAACACTGGATATTTGTGAAGTTATATCAAGCTGTGGACCAGTAACGCCTGTGAGACATGATTATGATTACAAGGTGAGTACTTATCAGGAGGTGGCAGAGCGACGGGGGTGCATCACTGGATTATTGTGACATTGTAGTTTATTCTAAACTGTGGGCCAGTCCTGCCTAGCATCTTTTACGAACGCTAGCGGGACATGATAATAAGGTGCGTATGTAGGGGGTGCCACAGCTACGAGGGTGCAGCACTGGAATATTGTGACATTACACGAAATCTGGATATTTGTGACGTTATACCGAGCTGTGGACCAAGAACGCCTGTCATCTGCTGTAAACTTAAGCTAGACATGATAACAAGGTCAATACTTAACAGGGGGGACAGAGTGACGGGGGTGCAACCCCAAATTATTGTGGCATTATACCAACACTGGATTATTGTCGTATATTATACTAAACTGTGGTTAAGTCCAGTGGGGTGGCAGAGCGACGGGGCTGCATTACTGGATTATTGTGACATTGTAGTTTATCGGAACGAAGTTCCTTACGGCAGGCTTGGAGGGGATAGGGATTTTGCTGCGCGACCGAACTAAAAAAAATGTGATAGTGAAACCGTAAGGAAAAATCCGTGGATAAAATTGCGAGGAATAAAACGGTTAAATGAGACGTGCGCAGGCGTCACAGTCGCATACACAAGCGAGTTTGCAATTTGTGTCGATTCTACATTAGCCGAAGGAACTTCGTTCCTACCTGGTGTCCCACGACACCACATATTTTTTTTTATTTAAGGCGGGTAAGGAAAATCCTTTCCTACAGTTTAGAGAGTGTAGGCGTCAAACTAATGGGTCTGTAGGATGTAGGTTCATGTATAGGTTTTCCTGGTTTGTGTATTATGATGATTTCAAAGATCTTCCATATGGCTGGGAAACAAGACGTCCTAAATATGGCGTTAAACAGGCATGCCAGGAAGGTGATACATTTTTTAGGAAGTTCTTTTATGACCCGTGTTGAAATGAGGTCGAAACCAGGCGCCTTTTTCGAATCGAGTAATTTAATTTCTCTTGCAATTTCTTTTGGGGTGGCAGGTGTCAGAGGCAGGCATAGCTGGAGATCTTGACCAAGTACCGTTTCAACTTCAGTTTCATTCTCTAGAGCATCGTTAGGCTTAAAAGTTGTGGCAAGATGGGTAGCGTAAACTTCAGCTTTCTCTGCATTTGTTTTGGCCCAGGAAGAAGAAGAAGATCTAATAGGCGGAGTGCATTGCATTGGTTTTCCAACGATCCTCGTGTTTTTATACAGAGAATATTCGCCTTTAGCATGTGGTGACATACTTTCCAATTTTTGTTTGATATTGGCATTCCTAGTTGCGTCTAGAACTAACTTTAGGTCTTTTACAGCACGGTTAAACACCTTTTTGTCGACCTCTCTTCTAGTTTGGTGCCATATCCTTCGCAAACGGCGTTTCTTTAAAATTTTCTTTTTTATTTCGGAGGAAACTAATATGCATGCTCAACATATGGGGTACTTTTCCAAGCAGCAGTCTGAATCACATTTGACACAAGCAGCAAAAGAGACACACAGAAACGTAAAAAATGATAACACCCCTTCTTTTGCCTCGGGGGTATATACAAAATCAGAAAAGCCATAAATCTTATTTTGTAAAAGAAAATTAATACAATACACTTGTAAACTAATATTATAGTTATAATATACTTTAAATAAACCATTGTCATATGCTAGAGGCATTCAAACCTTAAACTAATATTTGATTACTTTGACAACATCGAATTTCGACATCACTTATCTGACAAATATGCTAAGAAAAATGAAATGCATTTTTGTAAAAAAATAAGCGTTTAAGGGCATCTATTAAATTCAGGGAGTCATTAAGAAGAAGGTTTCATTAAAAGTAAATATACAAATCAAAACCTGTCAGTTGTAGGCTACACGTTATGCTCATGGCTCAGGATGAAATTAATTTAGTTTTTCATTTATTGCACTGTTTACATAAAAAAAACGACGGGTTGCACTCCGGTAGTGCCGGCAGAAGTGAAAACTTGAATATTAACGTTGTGCATTTTTGATATTTTGGAATGGTTAGGGAATAATTTTGCACGAATTGCTTTAATTATCAGTATAAAAGTACTATCATGTATGTACTAGAATACAATACTTATTTATTGCGCTATCGTACACAAATATGACAATTTATATTACATTTAAAAAGTTTATCTCTCAGAAAAATCAACTTACATGAATCACGTTTAAGCGCACCTAGCGACCACTATTATTTTCTGCGCAATAAAGCTGCCATGTGGACGTCCTAGATAGAGACTTATTATTTTTATAATTATAATACGGTAAAATAAGGTGTTACTATGTTTCGTCCAATATATTGAAAGTCAACAACCTTTCCAATTTTATTGTGTGTCATGATGCGATCAGCCCACGTGTTTAACCTGAAGCGAGTTTAACATTTTTTACCCATACAAAAAAAAGTGTACAACGCCGCTAAGGAAGTTTTCACTTCAAAAATAATTGATAGTATCTTTTTGTATATATAATACAAAAATGTATTTAATATAATCAAACAGTCGTCAGTAGTCGGTCACGCAGTGCTTTTCCCCAGCGCCCAATGTATGTAAAAGCTATGTGCTTTTACTCCAAAAAAACAGACCTGCTTCTTTATAATAGTAAACAATATAAGCAAATTAATTAGTAATTCCTTCAGGTGATTCTAAGAAATAAAATAATTTGTTGTGTTCTTTTCGTTCTGTTTATGTTCTAATCGCTAAATGGATTATTATCTTTAAGCGTAAACATATTTACAAATTGATAGTTAGATAATGATACAAATTATCATCAGGATTTAACACTTGAAACTTCGAGACATACTTACCTGCCTAGTCTGCACTTTTATATTGGAATTATTATTTCCAGTAAAAAAGATAATTTAAGAAAATAATAACAATGCCACGATTTTTTTTATCAAGATATGTTAAATATTAAAATAGTACAAATTTAAATTCATGACTCTTTCTAGAGCTATCTATCTGATTTCATGTAAGGTATTAAGGGCTTCTGGTTTGTAACCGACTTCAAAAAGGAGGAGGTTCTCAATAGGTCTGTATTTTATTTTTCAGGCTACCAAGGCGTATACGGCTAGAGATGGCACCAAGTATTTCGCTAATGCTTTGCGTACATTCACCGTAGCTCTTTTGAGTCTGACTTAGGTGACATCACTTGCTGCAATAACAATACTAGGTACAAAAGAATTTGGATGACTAAAGTCATCAGGAAGGTTAATAACAGGTAGGTACTTTCCGAAACGCTCAAATTAAAGATGAATTTCTCTCTGTCCTACCTATCGTAACCTAGAGTGCAGATTTTTATTCCCATCAATAGATGTTTAAAGTTTTGAGTTCAAAAAAAAGTTAACTTCGTCTGATACGTAAAGGCGGCCTACTTTGCGGCGAGCGGCCACCTTACATAAGGTGCTTATTCTATTGTTGTTTTCTTTTCATTCTGAAAATGATGTAGTTCACATTTTATATAGGATTGGATTAAGATGTGAAGCCCGGTTCTCTTCGTCGTCTAACTGCGCCTGCGTCGGAGTAAGAAACACACGTGCGCAAGCGCACTCGTGAATATTAATGCGTGTACGAAACGTGCTAAGATTTATCAATGACTGTAATTCTAAAGCCAAAATTTTAGTACGTACTTAAACGTCAACAATATTTGCAACAAAGAAGTAAGAACAAAGTAGTAGCTTAATTTAATTAATTGTATGCAAAGGCACGAGGAGGATGGCGCAGTTTAGCTAGTTGGACCTGCCATCGTGGAAGTTAAGCAAATTACGCAATGGTAGGTCACAGGATGGGTGATCAATTATTAATTATCTCGAGCTCCCCCGCACTTGGTAAGGAACTTCAAGTCTTTGATACCGACTGCCTCTGCAGAAGTTAGCGCCCACCAACACACTGAGCCCGCGTGGTGGGGGTTGGCCCGCTCTCCCTATTCCATCCACAGGGAAAGCCTATATAATATATATCCTATCACTGGGTACAGACAATAGGCGGATAATCATGATGCAAAGGAATACCGATATTAATACTAATACCACAGTCCATATAATACTTACACTCTGTTAATACTATAGGTACCTAAAGTCGTTATTGATTCTCTGACCTTTAGATAGAATTTAGACAGGTACACTTTGAAAGTAAAATACATTGTTTATTTGATTGTAATGCGGAATTTTAAATTACTTTAAATTAGATACAATTTTAATTTTTTAAGCATGTAACTGCTTGATGTTTAAATCTAAAAAATATAACTACTTTAAATTATTTTAATCTTACAATTTTGTATCTTATGAACGTATTCATTTGAATACGTTCATAAGATAAAAGGAAATTGATCAAAAACATATAGTCTAAACTCTAGAGAGTAGGAAATGGGAAAAACTTCCTTGTGGCAGCTAGCCCAAGCCCACATCATATACTCAAGGGAACCTTTTAATTGAAGGTTTTTCTTCTTGCTGATAGTACATACATAACTAATGATAATGATTATAGACAAATTTCAAACCTTATGTCAATCAATTCATGGGAAGTAGAAATTTGTTTACCTTGTTATTTGCTGATTGGTTACTTAGTATTGATATGAATGACTGAAATGATCTTATTGATATGATTTGTAAATATTATTCATAAACCTATAAAAAGGACTGCGCCGAAGAAATACGTTCATACCGCAAGAATATTGTGTATAATAAACACTCAACTGTGTAAAATTTATTTGAAGGCGAAATTGTGATACTTACTGAATGTTGTGACAAAAAAACTAATTACAGGGAACAAGACTCGCACACCTTGAACCCTAGTTTTTAGTAAAAGGTTTACGCGAATTGAATGGGCGACACCGGCCACTGCGCAAAATATACCTACCGTATTATCAGTAACGGTCTGCCAGAACCGGCCTCGAAGAGACAAACCATCGAGCGTCAGTCAGGTGAAAGTCTCCAGACGCACACTTCACTTCGAGTAACAAGCACGCTATCAGACGAGTCGATACGCGATTTCGCCGATAATTATCTGAAAATAAACAAACAAAAAGCGGGTATAGTAATTGTAGGTAGGTAGCTGATGATGCGCAAACGTCAGTCGCGTCATCGCGTGGACGGGCAAACTGGTGCGCAGGCCGGTGCGCTGCTAGTGTGTTGCGGAGGCGCGGGTCCGCCGACGCGTGGTGCGCGCGCGCACTGCCGCCGCACAGTCGCGACCATGTCAACGTGCTGCATCGTCGTCGTAGCCCTGGCACTCGCCGCGCCCGCCTTGTGCGCCGCCAACGCTGATGCCGCCCTCACTACACTAGGAATGGCTGCTCCTCCAGTGGAAGTTCTCACCAACGCCCTGGATCCCAACACCACGATGATCTCGAACGAGACATTCGCCGAACAATATTTCATCAATAAGATATTCGACAAATACGGTGACAGAGGAGTCATCACCTTCGAGGTTAGTTGAAATTTGCCACTCTTTCTCTTAAATGTTGATTCAATACTAAGTTGTAAAAAAAATATTATTTTAATTACATAAAATATATAGTTGAGGAAGTACATTCTTATTTTAATAAATAAAACTATCATAATCGGTTGATTGAGGGTGATCGCATGATCAAGATATCATTTCTAAATTCGATGCACGGGACAAGCTAAATAATTGGTAAATTAAACTTTGTCGTAAATAGGAAGGTAATAATAATCAGTTATGCTATTTCTAATATAAAGCTTTTTATAGACCAAACAGTTTCCGCTTTCCTAACTCGAAAGTTCATCGAACTTCCAATATAGTTTATTTACTATTAAAACGATAGTTTTCTTATCTCAATCTAAATACTTCCTTATCAGTGTTTAGTTAAATCTATCCGGTACATCGATAAATCGATATTTAGGAGTGTTCCTTTCGTATGTAGTCTACAGTATGTAAGTACTGTTTCCTTAATCGATAAATTAAAAAACTTATAAAAATTGTTATTTTATTAATTTATACTCTACGGTTTAATCACTTGCAATTCAGGATATTTATCTTAAGGGGCCCATTCACGGCAGTCCGTCTTGCAGTCCGCTGCTATATGCAGGATTGTGAATTTTATCGCAGTCTGCATGGCGTCCGGCAACACCCAGCTGGATGCGTCTCGAGACCTACACGGAGGACTGCAATACAGAATCGTGAATGAGCCCCCTTTAAAATATATGACAACCACTTACTTGAACCTGTTTGGCATATCACTGTCAACTTATTACCGTGGACATTTCAGATTTGAACCTGGACTGCGACAGTAATGCGTATGGTCACACTGATATTATAGTCATCGAATATCTAAATGTAGATATTACTAAGAGTGATCATATCCTAAATATTGATTTCTTTGAATATTTTATTTATTATCATGCGCTATTGCAATATTCGTCGGGCAAGCGAATATTATTATGATGACTTTTTGCATAAACCAACAACAATAAAACACATTCTTGTCACAATCAGTAAATTGAAGCTATTGCTTCGTTATTTTCATCATTTAAGTTTAGCATATAAGATAACAACATAAATGTTGTTAAATACCTTCTAAGAAGAAAATCAGAACATATTATGTATTAAGTTATTCAATAAATACATTTTTCTATACAATCTTAGCAACAAAACAAAATGGCCAGTAATTCGTAAATAACTGTCATCTAGTTCCCGTCGCGTCGGCATTAATTGCGGAAGTCGCAGATTCGAGTCTGGACTGTGACAGTACTCCGTTAATAGTCACATCACACTGTTATTATATTATATGGAGTACCTATCTAAAAGTAGATATTACATCAAGCGGTCATTTCCATAATACTGATTTCATTAAATATCACGAGCTATATAATCTTTTGCCGGGCAAACGAATATGACTTTAGTTATATTTTTATTTTTTAAGCATTTACAGGTTATATTTAAAAATCTAAAGTAAATTTTCCAAAACAAAAACCACGTGGACCCGGCAGCGGAAGGGACTCAAACCGGCATCCTCCACTATCTGGGCGGATGCACTGACCATTATGCTACTGCGGCTCTAATGGCCGTGTCAAATTCTTTCTAGTATTTGTATCTTGTATAGGACTTTGTCTACGTAAACAAATAAATTATTACCGAGATAGTTTTCTTCACTTTTGAAAATATGTAATTTCCATTAAAATTGTATTTTAGAATATTATAAAGCATACAATAATTAGATACAATTAATTATTTTACTATCTTTGTATCAACTGGCAAGTTATTCTTTACAACATAATTTTGTTTGTTTGTGCGTCAAAAATTACTAATACTTACTTAAATGTAAATAATTAAGTTAGTATTTCGGGGTAGAGAAACGGAGTATTCATAATTTTACAATAAAATTTAATGTTCATTTTGAGTCACATATTGCCTCCGTCTATTGCTACCACAAAAAAAGTGATGGTATTAACTTTGATCAAACTTTAAACTTAATTGACGCCTCTGAGTGCAGTGGTCAAATGAAATTTGTTTAGTAACTATCTTAAAATTTACTATCTTCTTATTTTAATATAAATATCGACTTCTTATTAGTATTTTAACATACATCATTATACAAACATCTATAATAATATTCTTATAGGTACTATAATTTACCGCATTTTTTGCATTTTTATTTAAATCGATAACATTTAGTAGATATAAACACCTATATAATATTCCTTTTTATAAATTTCTAATATGTACTTCTGATGATTAACTACTTATGATTCACCAAAATATTGGAACGTCAGATAAAACGAAAACTAATGTTTGTTTCGAAAGCAGTCTGGATGTTGAGCGACCAATCTTTGCGCTACCTAAATGCTTCTTAATTTGTTGTTATGGTTTGTGACACAGCTAAATGCAAACAAATAACATTTCGGAGGCATTTTGACAATAGTATTGGTCATTTTTGATAAGGCAGATTCACTAACCGAATAGTTCAATATTTGTTCATTAATTATCTAATCTTCTCTTATCATATTATTTTAAATAATGCAATCTACCAAGCAGAGAATTAATAAAAATAAAAAATAATAAGGTACCAAAAAGTATAGATTTGAGGACTTCGTTAGCGAATGCCATTGCGAACTTTAAATGCATGTTTCAAATGTTGCGTAGATCCTAATCATAGCCAAAATTTGTACCACATTATTAAACAGAGTCCCTCGCTGCTTCTGTCTATAGATATCTAATGTTAGCAATGATCTCAAAAAAACTGCAGTGAAAATTTATCTCGCGAGAACCACAATGAAATCTTTGTTTTTACAGCAATTTTTGAGATCAACGCCATTATTATCGTTATCTATGCAGACAGCTTTTAGTAAAGATACGTCATAATGTTGGCGATTCCATTACCTATATCTAATAAATAAAATTCTCGTGTCACGGTGTGCGTAATTGAACTACTCCGAAACGGCTCGACCGATTTTCTTGCGTGCAAACCTTATTTATCTGTTCCGTGGTGCAAACGTGTAGTGAAGGACGTCCTCAGACACAGTGGAGTGACGATTTGCGCAAGGTGGCTGGCAGGAGCTGGATGCGAGTAGCCCAAGATCGACCTCAGTGGCGGGCCATTGGAGAGGTCTATTTCCAGCAGTGGACTAATGTAGACAGCCTACATTAGTCCACTGCTGATGATGATGATGATGATCTGTATAAAACCGTAATTTTGATACAACATTTTAAATAAAAGGTTGAAAATCTACATGATATCGATACTTACATTGTTTAAATTAAAATTTCTAAATTAAATCTCCAGAAATATGTACTATTTTTCTCTATAAAAAAAAATCTTTAGATTTGTTTATCTACCTATGCTTAAAATAAAAATATAACAGGGTCAAAATTACTTTACGGTTTGTTTCAATTTTTCTTTTAGCTAAAGTAAATACCTATACTAGGTCATCAATGTTTAAAAGAAAGTATAGTAATTTTGACCAAATGACTTGCTTTTATGTAATAGTTAAGTGTACGAAGAATAACACCATTAAATTTATATTTTAAAGTCATAAAGTTTACAAGATTGTAAAACAAAAGTTTTTCGTCACAGAGGCATGAATAATATGTAAAATTTTAAAGGAAAATAATATTAAACTACTAAATTCAGGGCATTAGCAATAAGTTTAATATTATTTTCATCATCATAATTTTAAAAAAGTCCAATTTGCTGTTTCTTTCTAAAAATACAATGACTGAGGGGCTCAATGGCGCGGGTGGTTAACGCGTTCGGCTGCGATTGATGAAGTTAAGCAATTTTCGCAGTGGTCGGTCATTGCCCATTGGATGGGTAACTAAAAATCTCGAGTTCCTCCGTGCTTCAGAAGGCACGTTAAACCGTTGCTCCCGGCTGCATCTGCAGTCGTTAACACCCGCCAATCCGCACTGGGCCCGCGTGGTGAGTCTTAACCCAATCTCCCTATTCCATCCATAGGCAAGGCCTGCGCCCCAGCTTAATAGGCTGATGATGATGACAGATGTTTCAACGTCTATGATTTTAAATTTTGTGAACAATATACTTACTAATTTCGATTTGATTAAGTTTTCCCATTCTTTTGGGAAATGTGGCTTAACTTACCAACAAACAATCATCGTGCGAGACACAAAGAATGTCATTTCGCAAGTGTAAGATACAAGATTCGCGTGTTTTGTTTTGCGTGTCACGCACGCAAGTATATAAAACCTGGCCAGTTTTTATCGCAGTGTTTACAAGCTGACGCTCTATCTAGAGAGTAAATAATCAAAAGCCATATAAGGTATATGTATTCAAATTTTAAAATAGAAATTATGCAAGACTTCCTCAAACACATTATTGAAGTCATCTTCTTCCACCTTTAGACAAAAACTAATTTTATACTACAGTCTAAAATTTAAAGCCTTAAAATAGTTAAATGTAATAGTTTACAAAAAGTAAGTTATAACTTGAAATGTTTTGGTATTTTTGATGGGCTTGTTTGAAGATTAGCTAGCTCGTACGTTCGTTACAGTCACAAAAATTACACCTCGTGTATTGTTCTCCAACCAGAAAAGATAAACAGATCTGCCTATTCACCAGATGTTCAAACAATACGAATTCAGGCCGTTCTCGGCGTGAAATATGTAATAAGTATACCATTCATATCGTCAGGATTATAAATTTTATCATTAATAATGTCAAAGCAAGAAGGCAATAACTGACGAACTTATTTGTGACTTCGAAATTAACTAAAAACCATATCTTGAAACAAACGTAACTGATTTTAATGAAACTTGAACTGTTCTGGTCTAAAATTTACAACTCGATGTTCAGTTTCCGAAAAACGTTATGTACCAACATATAGTAAACATACAAACATGAAAGACGACTTTGTTACCCTCCGTGGCCGAGTGGTTTGTATGCCAGGTTTCATGATGTCGCCGACTCGAGAGGTCTCGGATTCGAATTCCGGTAAGGGCAGATATTTGTG